TTTAAAAGGCTTTCTCACAATTAATTCAGTCTTCTATCTTCGAAGCCTGTAGAGGGAGAAAAAAACTGAAATATATCCTCTTCAGGCATCACTAATGTATGTTTCATTAGCATATATATTATATGTATATATATATATATATATATATAATTGTAACACCGTTTTATTCAACTGAAAATGAAAGTATGTATGTCACTGTGTATAATATGTCTATTCTACTACTGCAGTGTTATGGAAGTTCCCACATATACCTAGTACAGTGTTAACATAACTCATTTTAACCATATAAGCGCTCAGAAAATATTACTTTAGTTACTTTAATTTCCAAAGATAACTGCATTTGCTACACACATGCATGAGGGTACCGAGTAACGGTAAAACTAACTAGCTATTTACTGCCAATGAATCTGATCTCGTAGTGAATACGTTATACCTATTTCTATGTCTTATCCGTATTTTTATTAATTATAGGAAATCTGGAATACTTTTATAAAAGACTTTTACATGGCTGAAGTCTATTTATTAATTCATTTATTGCATAATTGGTTAAGACTAGTCACCTAGTTCTTCGAGAGCAAGTTTGGAATAAATTTTGTTCAGTAACATGTGAGATTTTGTAAAATAAAAAGAAAATTTTAACAACGATCAAGGTCTTTTTTGTCGTCAAAAACTCAATCATTTGATTTTACTCAAAACGTCGTGAAAAATAAGGGTTATTGGGTGAGCAAAATTATTTTTTATGTAATCATGCAATCGGTAACAAAATTCAATTTAATTGAATGGGGTATAATTATGTGTCTCTCGATATTTTTATTTAAATCTAATTTAAATGACTCAAAATATTTTTTCCATTACTCGCTTAAAATTATGTTATAAATCTACAAAAAAAATTGTAAAATTATTATTTCAAAATCAGTTTCATAATGACTGGTACATTTTTACAATCTAGAAAAAACACATTAAAAATTTTCAATTAAACCTGTTTAAGTAACGTGATCCGAAAAAGGCAATAACAGTTCCATCAGCCGATAAGGTCACGGACACTGTGTATTTGGATTCACGTGATGGTCATATACTATTAGTCGCTTACCTACAGAAGAAAAAGACGACTGCAGGAGAAAACAACGCCTCATTTATTTATTTATAATTTTATAATTGCATATGGATACAAATTTTAGCAACATTGTATCGAATCGAAATGAAAAGTAATACATGTACGATGGTTATTTTATAAATAATTTTAATATAATATTGTAATGACTTTTGCAAATTTAATTCAATGAAGGGAAACATATTCTGAATCCCATGTTTTGATCGTGCATATTGATTGCCATTGCTCGCAAACAATTTTTTTTTTTTTTTTCAATGCAACGCAAAATACTGATAATCATACTATAAAATCGTTTACTTTTATCATTACCCTACTAAAGCACGTACTTCAGAAAATGTAGAATACACAAAAAATCCTACATCAGGTGGTAGAAAAGCTTAAAAAATCAATTTAACGCTTCGATAGTCACATAAATTCTAAGCATTAAATAAACAAACTAGAGTATCTACTGTTTTATTATACAAAATGTTCCTATTTATTTAAGGAACAAAAAATAAAAAATTGTTTAGACAGAATTTGAAATTTGTGAAAACCTTGACAATAATTGTATAAATGGTTGTAATAATTAGCATATAGGATAATTATATCCTATTAATCATATAGTACAGTTTTTTATGTAGCGAAAATAACAGCTAAAACAGCGAAAAACTGTGGCTGAAATTAACAGTAAATTTGTTCAAAAGTTAAGTACTTACATGTTCAACAACTTGACGTACATTGCAGAAAATTCGGGCTTTGCTATTCGTGATAACAAAGATACAACAATACTTACAATTTTTGCGGATCATTTGATTTCAGTAATTGGTTTTCATCGTTCAAAAGTCCCTGTTAAGACGATGAAAACTTTTTAGCCATTTGTTCTTACTATTTGGTTTTCTGTTGAAGTAAAATCGTTTCACATTAAAAAACGCATAACGCAACAATCAGCTTTTGGAACTTTAAAAAATAATAAAAAAAAGATCAATCTCCCAAATTCTAAAAATATTGCACGTTTCTATTAATTTTGGGTGAGTATCGATGTTTATGCTTATTATTTATGCTTACAGCTGTTTGTCAATCACAGCGAATGAAAAAAAATGTTGAACTTCAACCTTTTAGTCAATAGTTTAGATTGAAAGGAAAATTTCGTTCTGCTTCGTGATCTCGTGAAAAATTACAATGATTGAAAATTTCATTAAAAGTTATCGAATCTTAATTGTAAAAATTTCGTTAATAATCTCTAAACTATTTTAAAATGTGTTAAATTTTAAACACAATTTTTCCTCTAGTTTTTCTGTTTAAAATTGAACAAACTACACACGTTTTGTGTAAATTACGTTTGACAACAAATGTCTTTTTAAAAATGTATGTATTTCGGCATTTAATTTGTGTAATTTAGTAAACTACACACAAAACAGAGATGTTAACTTCACTTTCCACGTAAGAGTAGGTTTTCAAAGCATTCATCAACAACGACCACTTCAACAACAACAACCAAAAAGAGTCTCTCAAAGCTTCAAAAAAAAAAAAAAAAAAAAAAAAAAAACCCTCCATACTCTCAGTCCATACGCACTCGTTTATTGGGTCATCCGACTCGATAATTCATCGCCATGCCCTTTGAAATCTCCATCGAGCGAAGCAACCCCTGTAACACATAATATATAACACGACCTCGAGGGTCCCCGAGGGCTTATTAATTTCGCGCCCGGTCGCGCAGAACAACCATCCGAATCAACATGAAAAACCACACGCAACAGGAAGCACCGACACAATACCAAAATGACAATAAAAACTCGCATTCGTAATAATACGCGCGTGCGCGCCATACATCATACACGATTTCGAAGTGCCTCGACGACCCGTGTGGAACAAAAGTGAGACGAGCGAGCGAACGGGAGCATCCTCCGTGTAGGTATAATATACCATAATGCATCTAATAATAAGTGCTCGAGCACGTATCATTTCTCGTATACACTTGGCTCTCCCCCGACTACAACCCAACCACGCACGTACAGAAGGAGATGCTGGACAGGCACACAATAAATGCCACGCATATATACGTACACAGGGTGGCCTCGACTCCCCCTCGCACATATATACATTCGCTAGGGAGACAAGGGCTGTCGGTGGAGGGCTCGGAAGAATTCGCCCAAGTATTTCTATTATTGAATTCTCTCGTGTTTAATTAATAACGGCCCGCCGACTGCCGAACGGATCACCACATGCGTATGTACATATATATATACCTGTTTTCAATCGTACACGAAATTTGCAACGGTGTACAACAACGCACAACCTACACAACGAGCAATAAACTCGCGTGACGCTCCTTTCAATCATCTTCCGCGCCCGTACTCCTCGAGTGGGCACGTGTGTGTCCCGTGTAGTTTTTTTACATACGCTGCCAAACCTCACCCCGTGCACCCTCGACCCACACACCCGAGCAAGGGCCGTCCCGATCTACAGCATATTCCGAGCGTCATCCCATTCATCGGGGAAAGACACAGGGGTGGGATGTATAACCTACACCGGTAGCAATATCACTGACAAATTTAATGCCCGGCTATTAGCAGCGGGGGGGGGGGCATGCTGGGCTCCTATTGTCAAGTGGCCTGCACGTGCACGATGACTGCAGGAGATATATATATGTACCTCGGAAGGGAGGCCGTGTCCCGAGACGTAAGGGAGACATGCAAGAGGAGCGTATATACATGTATTGTACAGTTGTAGCGAAAAATCGCGTTCATCGGGGCGAAGCGAGTATATTTACAAGAAGGTACAAAGCCGGTGTGTGTCACGCTCGTCGCCCCGCTGATCACCTCCTTCGGAGCCCCTCGTGTGCCAGATAACCTGCTAGATTACACGTGAGATTAGACGCGCTTATAGCTCGCATTAGATGGCGATTCGATACGGCGATGCTCTCGAGTATCCCTTTGTACAGCGCGCGCGTGTATACGTATATAAAAGAGGAGGAGGCGGCAGAGAAGGATGTGTTCCTTTGGGCCGCAATAAATGGTCCGAGAGAGCGCGCGTGCCTCGAGACTCGAGGGCGTGGGACGTGCGCGGAAATCAAAGGGAAGGATCGGCTCGATGGGGGGGGGGGTGGCTTTTATTAAAAGCCATCGTTCAACGCTCAACTGATTTTTCGACAGCAACAGCGGCATGGTGGTGGTGGAAAAACGAGAGGGAATAACCAGAGAGTTTTTCTCGCTCCGAGTGGCGCGCGTCCCTCGAGTCGTTTGGCTTCACGGTATTCGACGCTTTTCGGGACAAACCAAGTATATATACGGAGGATGGTGGAGCCTCAGGAATTCGTCGCGGATGCAGTGCCGGGGTACGAGGGACGCTAACGATTTCGGAGAGTCCTCGTCTCGCGCTGAATGAGCCATGAGTCTTTTTTTTTTTGTATATTGGTTTCTTTCGGTATTTTGCTCTTTTCCGAAAGAGGGAGGTGATGAGAGATATTCGCGGTCCGATGATGAGGGGCGGTGTGTATATGCTCTGCCGCGCGCGATGGGAGTAATTTTGGGTGTACGCGTATATATATATATTATATACATATGTACTTTGGTCGAAGAGTACATCAAGAAGTGAGCGTGGCTTGGGCAGCTCGCTTTTTGTGTTCGTGACCGTGTACGCGCGAGCGTCGTGTACTTAATTCGGTCTGAGAATTCTTCATTTATTTGGGCTGCAAGATATTCGAGGAATTCGCTTTTATGAAGCGACGGAGCCCGAGTATCGCCGTGTTACAAATAAAAAAGAAAAAAAAGAAAAAAAAAAATTACCCGGGAATGTTGAAAATTAATATCAAGAAATTTCATACGAGCTGTATGGTCGCTTTTTTTTTACGCGACATTTCGCGCGGTCGATGGATTATTATTGGTTTTGAGTTGGAAAAGTTATATGTCAACGGTGAGTGTAAATTTTTGTTCGTATGTAATTTATTTTATCTTTATCGTGTCGAGTCTATTTTGCGCGTATTAGATATGGCAAAGTAATATGAACGTTACGAAGGTATGCTATTCCGCGTGATGATGCACCTTGGAAATTTTTTTTTTTTTAAGTCAGATATAGTCCTTAAGAATCTCTAAAACTTTACAAAAGACATTAAAAGTGTACCGAAATATTTCAAAGACATTAGAGGCTTTTAATCACTTTGAAGTCTCTTAAAGTATTTCAAAGAGTGTAAAAGTCTCGAAAAGACTTTCAAGTCATTCAAAGTCAAATAAAATCTGTAAGAGACTCTAAAAATTTCTGAATGACTTTCAAAGGCTATACTGAAAGATTTCAAAGTCATCATGGTTTTTTTAAGATATTGCATTTGTGTAAAACCTTTAAGAGTCTCTATAACTTTACGAAAGACTAAAAGTGTACTCAAATATTTCGAAAACTTTGAATTTTTAAGACATTTGAGGCTTTTCATGACATGGACTTCTTCCAAAATCTTTTAGAGTCAATAAAAGTTTACGCAATG